ACAAAGATACAGGATTGAAACACTTTTATGTTCAGGACATGTTTGTAACTAGAACAAAATTGTGAGTTCTTCACAGATCTAAGCTGCTTGGTTCTGCTTTTGTAGTCCTGGCTAAGATTCATAGAAAAGACACCAGGACATGGAGCATATTTTCGTTTGCCTCCAAACTGAGCAGGCTGCCAGATGAATACAGAGGTAGCTGTGTGTTAGGAAAATCTGGTTTTATGTCACTTCTGCAATAAGCAAATTTTTTGGTTTATTTTTCCTACTCTTGCTCTACATATCATTTGAGTCTGGAGAAGGAAGACAGGAGGGGTGTACTTTTACAATTCCTCTCCATACAGGGGAAAGTGGCAAGATACTCAGAGTTACACAAGCCATACATAATCATCCTGCAACGTGCTTCTGTATAGAAGCTAAGTGTTGGGTCATTTTTAATGTGCTGTAGAAATCTCATGTGACTTACTCAAGGTCACTCTGCAGGCCAGAAGCTATCACAAATAAAAGCAGTGAATCCTGCTGCTCTTATCACTGGAAGACCAAACCGCGTCCCCCCAAAATGTGCAGATGAGGAGAGACCTTGCTATGAGCACAGTGTGCATGGCACCGACCCGATTTGCCTTCCCGACCTCCCTCAGGAACTCTGGGGTGGTCGTTGTGATTATTCATTATAAAATGTTCTCACCCTTGACTGCCTGTTGTCCCACTGTGATCTGAGAAATATATTGATATGAACAACCATTAATATCAGGTAGCAGAATAGCTCTCTTCCATAGCATCTCTCTCAAGCTCTGTTAAGGAAATTGAAAAATAAATAAATACTGCTAGTACAAACTTCTGAAAATAAACTGGGCTTGGCACAGGCATTACTGATGAATGAAGTTCCTTTTTTTTTTTTTTGAGATGAATGAACACTTGAAGCCTATTTTCATTTTAATGGAAACATTTCTTTGTCAGCCCGCCAATTCAAAATAAGGTCAGCAAAACAAGCCTAAAAATAGTGAAGGTGTAGCACAGCTAAGAAATTGTGAAAGCACAGAGTGAGCTAAAGCTAAATACCACATTATGGCCCTGGTTGAGCACTTTATACATATATATGTCTAAAAATAAATACATGAGTAATAAAATACAAGCCAAAAGCTCAGTGGTCTGTTGGACATGGTTAGATAACTAGCTGACTGTGTTTCAGGTAAATCCAGATCTAGATTTGAGCCTTGTCAAGAAGGGGCTTTAACTTTTAAAAATATCTTTTTCTGGCTTTAAATTGTTAAAAACCCAATCTGCCTAGAGATTCAAGTGAGTAAGTTATATCAGGAAGACAAACTTGTAAATATGTGTGAACTTCTATCATGAGGCCTTAAAATTGGATACATTTAAAAATAATTGAGAAGACAATTTTACTTCAGAAGAGAAAATTAACTAAATCTAAGCTCCTGAAGGCTTGTAGCACTGAATGCTTAAGATATTTGTTTAGTGCTTATAGTAAATACAGTAAAATATGTGCTTTGGAACACTTTCATGACTTGTGGCTGCTCACTTCTTTCTGTTAAATTACACAGTACGTGAAGTTTAGCTTTCAGAGTTTTAATGAAGAATACTGTCTTTATTCTGTAGTGCTGAAAAGAATCAGATTCTTGTTTTTCTAGCTTTTAAAATCACTATTGTTTAAATAATCAGGGGAGATGGAGCTTATAGGAATGGTATGGCTCGTCCATGTGAAGTCCAGATCAGGGATATTTTCAGACACTGCTCATTGATTCAAGTGTGTTTTTTATGCAGCAAGAGAAAACCTTACTACATGAGGTTTCTCAACATTACAGCTAACAAAATTTAAATTTTATTTATTTTAGTTTAGGACAAAAGAATTTAGGCCACATTATTTTGTGGGAATGTTTCTGTAGTTTAGAAGGGTGGACTCCATAAGGGAAATAATGTAGTCTGCAAATAAAAAAAAATCTGAAATCTGTTACTGTAGATTTTTAAAGGTCTTTGTCCTTCCTCAGTCTGATTTGAAGCCTAGAGGCAGTGAACTGTAGGAGAGTTCAGTTTAGTCACTTGCTGACTGAAGGCAAAGTGGGAGAATACACTGTGAATGGGGCATAGCCAGGGCACACTGCGCAGTGGGACCTTTAGAAGTTGCTAAGAAAAGAAAATATGAATTTATTATCTGAGAAGTAAAGGTTTCTGTAATTTGCAGTGACAGTTTAAGTCTCACAATATCCTTTGTGGTCGGTGCAGGAAACACTACTCGTTTTGTAGATGAGAATACTTGTCTGAGGTTGCGTGGTCGGTTACCAAAAAGACCAAGAGAAGGCTGACATGTACAACAGAAACTGAACTTTCAACCTTTCTGAACAGGTAATCTCCCTGATTTACAGCATGCACACTGAGATAAGACAATAGCTGCCTAGCCTCTTCAGCTAATTCTCTGTGTATGCCTTCTTCCTCTTCCTTATTGCTTCTGTAGACTGTGGGAAATAAAGAATTCCTATTTATTGCTGCTGTATCTCTAGCGGATCCTGTTTTCTCACGTAATTTTGAATAAGCTCAATTAGTAGGAGGTAGGCCAAGATGAGAATGAGTAAGTTAAAGTGCTGAAATTCTCAGAAACTAAAGGGATCTGTGTTTTGGGAAGTCTCCCTAAATTTGGGAGAAGATGGTTGAAGCAGTGCATGGCTATAATAACTATATTAAAAATAATTTGCTCAAATTGAAACGTTTGACTTTCTACACACTCAAGGAAATGTTGCATTAGTTCTTTAGAAAATTTGGTTTCCCCGAGTATGCACAGATTCTTTTTTTTTTTTTCTCCTGTGGAAATGTCTGAAGTCAGATGTAAGATACGGTTCAGAAGTGAGGCCAAGTATGTCTCCAGATTCTGGATCCTTAGTAAGCTGACAGTATTTAAACCAGAACTTGGAAGCAGATTTTTTGTTGTTGTTGTCTTAAGCCTACAGTCAAGTTGGTAAAAGCAAGCTGAAAACCTCACAGCTTTCATTGCGTAACATCTGCAAGATGAAAAAGATCCGGTTCTGGGAATCTGTGTGATCCTGGCGTAATCTTAAAACTTCATCTTTGAAGGATGTTTCCAAAGAGAAGGGAACTTGGCTGTGAGATCACTGAGTTTGGGGGTTTTTTTGTGTCCAAGCTGGTGAAAAGTAAGTATCAGCAGTTACTAGCGCCGTTTCGCATGCAGACGGCATCAATGTTAGCTGTCTTCTGAAAGTTTGCATCTGCTAGTACCGAGAAACTGTGCTTCATCTCTCACTTGTCTCAAGCCACCACTTCAAGTGCTATTAAATAACAATAGTCATCAGCAGAAATAGCTTAAAAAGATTTTTTTTGAATGAAACAGGTTTTCATCTGAAATCTGTTTTATGCAGTTGTATATACATCGTAAAACTAAGACCCAAATGATTTAGTCAGAGGGCTCTGATTAAATCCTTGTTATTTGCATTGTAGATGAACACAAACCAGTTCAACCTTTTTTTTGAAGTTGAAAATGCCTGTGTGCCTTTATTGCTGTACTATTTGGGCTATTTGATAGAATTACGTGAAGAAGAATCAAATGACTTTCTTCCAGAAGAAGGGAGGAGAGGAAAAAAGCAACCAGCCAAGCTGATTCATTTCCTTTGACTAGCTCCTTCCAGCACAGCCTCTAGCAGCTTTGCAGCTTATGTTCTGCCTCTTCTTAGTAATTTTCATGAAGACTGAAATCTAAGTTCTTTATTCTGAAATGCTTTGCATTCAGGATGAATAATGGGACTTGCTAAAACTGGGGGTCCTTGGTCTGTGGTGTGACTGCATTAGGTGACCTGTCTTAGGCTGGTTATGGTGGCCTTCCCTCCTGAGAGGTGCCTGGGGAACGTGCTCCGTTCTGGTTGAATTGCACTTTCCCCGTCCTGCGCAGGGCATACTTGTTCACTACCGATTCAGCCGGATGAGAGGAAGGCCTTGAAGGCGTGTGAGATATGTGGGCTGCTGCCACCAGACCGCTTGCTCGTCAACATGAATTGCCTCTGCTGTGGCCTCTGAGGGTGGAGGTGGCACCTTGTAAAGGTGGCAACCATGGTTGGGTGGAGTTGCTGCTGTGGCAGGGGGCCCCCCCTACCTGCTGTGTTTCATGAATGGAAGCATCTTTTACAGATGTGTCTCTTGTCTTTATTTTAGTCAGTTCCTGAGGCAGGAAGGGGGCCAGGTTTATGTCTTATCTTCTGCTGGGGAGGAACTTGATGGTTTAATTGACCAGAAAAACTGTGTATTCCCGATCTGTACATCTTTAGAAGTAATTTATAAAGACATCTGTGATAACTACAGTTGGAAGGGCTTACATTAATTTTGAGCTTAATCAATTTCTGAACTTTGGATCAGCTGTACACTGAGGAATAATCTTCCAGTGAAGAACACTTTTTATTGAAAACACTTGTGTCATCCATTTGCACTTGAGCTGGTTTTGTGGTTTGATGCAGCAGGGTATGTGACAAATGTCATAGTACAGCAAACCGTCACAAAAATAAAACTGGATTGAAAGGTCTAACTTTACCTTTGAGGAGCAGATACAGTCAGGGTTTTACTGGAGATTTTGAAATTACTTTGTTTCTTGCCGCAGATGAGAACCAGCACTGCTGAAGTAACATAGAAGGAAACTACCAAATCTAAAATAAAAACAATTTGCAGTAGCAAATTTAAGAGTTTCAGGTTCTTTAGATAGCTTAAGATATATCCGTATTTGGGATAAAACTCAGTCAAACCAAAGCTCTGACTATTCTGAGATCAAGCAATCTCCTAATATGTGGATGCTAAATTACATTACATAAGTACCTTGCATGTTACAAATGCCTAGGTGACTTAGCAAATCTCTTCTGGAAAGAATTTCTGAAAGATGTAGCTTTGCTGATGTTCTGGTGGTTTAGATCCAGTAAGATAATTATGAATAAAATATTAATATTGCTCAGTGTTGAATCTTATTGCTAATGTGTGTGTGCTTTTAATTATTTTAGGAAATCTATCAGTGGTGTGGCTCATCATGCAATAAATACGAGCGGCTGAAGGCTACTCAAGTTGCTGTTGGCATTCGGGACAATGAGCGAAATGGAAGGTCTAAATTAATTACCGTGGAAGAAGGGAGTGAACCAGACCAGCTCATAGAGGTATTGTAATATGCATACCAGTTACTGACATAGCTGTGAATAAAATGTTTTTACACTTCAGGAACTATATAGGATTGGGCTCAAACCTTATGTTCTTCAAGGGCTCAAGGAAGTCAGGTTTAGGTTATAGCAGGCCAGTTTATACTTCTTTTCCCTCCTTATCCAAGCAGTGTTAAGTTTATTGAGCAGTAGAGTCTGAGATAATTAATCAGCTGAGAATACGTTTTCAAGAATTAAATGTTTGCTATATTGAATTAGCTGTAGGGTGACTGGATTAACGGTACAGCTCATACGTGAATCACGCTATCTGCTCCACATGAGGGAAGAGCAGCATCAAGGTGGGACAGCACCAAACGAGAGGAAAATCATAGAATTACTACGTCTAGGATGTCAACAAATGTAGCAAATTGCATGGAGATGCATGGGGCCAAACACAGTGCTTTGCATAACCACTTCCATTACAAACTCTTACGCGTCTAGCCTCAAGTAACCCTACTAAGCCCCTCCCTGGTACGTTTAGAAAGTTTAGCCATTTACTTAAAAACCAGAATTTAGATTTCATAACTGAGTTGATCTAAGTAGATTGCAAAAAAATAAATCCCCAATGTATGGAGTTTTCAGATCTTGAAAGAAATTCATGAGCACTGATGCATTGTTGCAAGCCACGTACTAGTAAAAACATTGTCATTTGGCATTTGTGTGCTAAATTAAGCTTTTTCCATTCATTCTCTAAAAAGAAAGAAAAGGGAAGCAGGGTCATAAAGCAGTTCTTCAACAGAATGGAAAATGTGCAGTTTGAATATTATCTTGTACTTCAAATTAACTTCAGGAAGTCACGCTAATGGTGCATGCAGGTATGCCATTATTTTTGATGGTGCTTAGATTCGGCTTTGTCACATGGACTGTAGCTGGTTATTGCCTAAGTAGCGAAACATGCCAGGTGCTGAGCTGCCAGCCCTTGGCCGTGCTAGCTCTGGTGACCCCTTTGGATGATCTGTCAATCTGCTTGCAAAGACTTTTTGCCGGTGGATGTGAGTACAGATGTGGCTCTGCTCAGAAGTAGGGCAGGTGGCACCCAATGCACTGGAGATTTTTGAAGGGGGAAAAAACCCTCAAACAATCCTCTGTCTGGCTTTTTACTTCCTTGTACAGACTTCTCACACCTGCTCTGTTGTGGCACATATTTTACACCTATAACTTATATGAAAAGGACGCAGGTTGACAATTGGAACCCAACCTCTTGTTCTGTAATTGAATCACGGTATTGGGTTGCAGCCTGCTGTGGCCACGGCTGGGGGGCACCGTGGGAACCTGCTGGCACAGTCCCCTGGCAGCAGCCTCCATCCTGTCCGGTCCCAGGGTTACCGCTCGAGGCTCTGCACGGGGCTTCCGATAAGCGAACGTCTGAGCTGGGAGCATTGACCAGAGCAGCTGCACTCCGCACCTGCAATCTGCATAAGGTGCAGATGCAGCGTGGCTGCAGCAAGGAAGTGGGCCGGGCATGGGGATAGCCAGGATGACCAGGATGGATGAGGATCTCCTCCCAGATACGCTGGCCTCGCCTCGCCCCTGCATCTATTTGCCAGACTTTCTCAGCTGGGTGCAACTGTTGTTTTGTAGCAACATGGACATGTGATTAGGAGCAGGAAAAAAGCCAAGGTTCCATTTTGATCTTGTAGCGTGTTGTTGTTGTACCAGGGAATAGATCGTTTCTTCACTTGCTCCGCAGCATATGAAGAAGTTCCTGCTTTCCCTTTTAGATTGTGAATATACAGGGAAGAAAAATGGGTAGCTCAGTGCAGGGAGTTTCATGGCTTTTATCACCACCACTGTAACGAGCCTTATTCGAGTGAGTTTGTCGGCAGCTACTGCTTACCTTCTAGCCTGTGTTGTGCTGGGCAGCCTTGCTTTTGGAAGTGCTGCTCACAGAATGGGGTTTGCAGCTCGGCCATGGCCATCCCAGTCCAAGCTCTCAAGTGTGCTGCTAATAGGCCAGGAGAGTAGTTAACCTCACAAATATATGAAAACTATTAATCCCTATCCCTGCTCAAATTGAATGCAGTGCCTGGTGTTCTTCATTTTAATTTCCCCTTGCTCCCACAAAATTGTCTCTGACTTGCTGTAGCACTTGCCCAGGTTGACTGCTCTGATAATGGCATTATGCTTATTTCTTCTCTCTGCATCAGGAAGGATGGATTTTTGCCACCTCCAGCTTGCTTAGAAAAAGGTTGATTTTTTTCCTAGAGAAAAGAATTATGTACTTTAAATATTCATTTTGTCATCCAGTATGCCACTGGAAATCAGAATGAGATTTCCTAAAACTATCTCCTCTGATAAATGTCGGGAATGATTCCCTCTCCCATGAGGTAGAAATCTGCTTTCCATATCAGTGGCTTAACTTGGTCGTGCAGCGCTGCTAGAAAAGCGTTCACCAGGCAGGGGCTGATGTACCCACCACGAGTACCGACGTGGGGAGTCGACAGTGATCTTACCCCTACTCTGTAAGCACGGAGTTGTGTCTCCCAGCCAGCAAAGCGGGACTGCTGTGCCTACACCCCACGGAGGCGAGACACACGCCACTGGTCCAACAAGCCCTGCCAGGCTTCTCTCCTGCTGTGGAATTAGCAGAGGCAGCAGTGGCCGTGCCAGGCTGGGGTTTCCTGGCTTTCCCGCTTTCCTGTTGGGAGCTGGAGAGCTGTGGGTGAGGTGAAGTAGCCTGACAAGGGTGGTTGCCTGCTCCCAACTACCATTTTTAGCAAGGACCTGGGAACAGGCTGAACAATTTGCCCATGGGAGAGAGCTGTCTGGAGCACGCCGTAGGGCTGGATGAATTGCTGTGGCAGGCCAGCATGATACAGCTTGCTTGCCCTGGGAGAGGAGAGTGGCTCGAAGCTGGGGCCGTGAGTAGTTTTGACAGCAGCAAGCCTTTTTTTGATCTGCTGTAGTGACCAGGGGCCACTTCGGAACACACAGTGACCCTCCTGTGCTCAAGCTCAGACCTGCAGTGGGTACACAGAAGGTCTCATAACATGCTGCAGGAATCACTAGAACTCTATGACTGCGAAGATGAGGCAGAAACTTTCTGTGCAAGCACGGCAAAAGTATTTACCTAGTTTCACCTTTGTGTTTGCCCTTTAGGTGAGGTAGTGACTGGCAGGTTTAAATAAGCAGTGCTGCATAGGTTTGCTGCCTTGGAAATTTAAAAAATAAACTGACCACCTTGGACAAATTGCTGCTGTTACTGCTCAGTAGCTGTGACTGGTCTTCACAGTCGCAGCTGCCCATAGGAGAATTCACCAGATGCCAACTCTGCTCTGATTTTCTCAAGAAAACAGCTGAA